TTAAACTCGGCCTTGTGTCACATGCAACCCTCGTGGGGGTGGCTAGATATCGAGTCGAGTCGATAGTAGTTCACTCCAAACCAGACTGACAGTCATACTAACACCTTCCACATCTTGTATTATTATTTCGTGTAATATACCTTCGTTATTTCTACTCTTTTGTTCGTGTTGTTCTTCCTTGGTCCTAACCTGCACCATAACAATAACAAACAATTGATTTAATCAAATGGGGATTCTTTAAATGTTTTCATTAAACTTGTATTATGATTTACTAGTTGTTGGCAAAACCATAATTTATTATTATTTTTTTATGTGCCATCTCCCTTCAGGTTGTCTGCCATCAAAATTCTTCATAGGTTCCTGTTCTTCGTGTCTCGAAGCATCGTTTGTCGCCTTAACATTCTTCCTTGTTCCTGTTCTGCCATCAATTAAATGCATAATTCTAGGTACGACAAAAATACCTCCCATATTTTAATCGGTCACTTGTATGGTGCTATTGAACATAGTCAAGTGGTAATTATGTTTTCATCTCGCTAATATCTTACCATATTTTCTCAGATGACAGCTGTTTCCATCATGGCTTCGACCGGTGCAGACTATGCGTTTGCTGTCTTTTTTAAGGACCGGTGAATGCTTACTTCCAACACAAAGAGCTCATTTTATGTTACGTCAAAATTATTTTGCACCCGATAGAAAATTCGTATGGGTTAAAAATTTCAGGAGCGCAGGTAGAGTGCTTAAAAGAAAGCCACCTGGAAAACGTAGAAGCGCTCAAACTTACGGATTATGGAAAAATTTAAAAATCGCTTACAACAGTTTACGGCGAATAGTGGCCATCATTTGGCGGATAAATAAAAAAATGAATAAAAATTATAGCTTTTTTTGTCGAAACAATAGTGAAATAATTTTTAATAGCAATTACCTTGGTTTTTGTCAAGATGTTGGAAGTATTTCTGCTGCAAAAAAGCCACGAATTTAATTTACTTTTGCAATTAAATTAAAGACATTAGTTCCATTTCATCCTCCAGCGAATTTTGGAGTAACTTTTAAAATTACTGGGTTTTAAAGACACAGCTAAAATCACGTTTCCATGGTTACAGATAAATCTACTTCTACTGGACAAGGGTGTCTGGGTTTTTCCTTATGTCTGCATCATTGTATATATATATATATATATATATATATATATATATATATATATATATATAATGATGGTTCCCCTTAGGGATGCAGGTACGAATCTTGCCGGGGGTCGCATATATAGATATAGTTGAATAATGAATACTGTTTAATTAAAAAAAAAGATTCTACTCGAATATGAGTAACCATAAAAAAATAACATTTAAACAAAATAATTAACATTAACAATATGTCGGATTTAATACATTTCCTATATATTTATATATGTGTGTATATATATATATATATATATATATATATATATATATATATATATATATATATAATAAAACATAAAATAAAGAACAAGTCGGAAACGTATCTCAGTTTAGTATCTTACACATTTATTAAAGCATACGCATGAGAAATGCTTTAATGATAAATATGATAAATAAAAAAAACATGATTATTACAATATCTTGCCCCGTTTCACAGACCAACACAAAGTTGACGACAACATACATTCCCGAAACACACACATACACGAGAAAATAAATATCCAGCCAAATACAAAATTATTGCAACATTTCGCAATATTTAACCGACACATACGAGAGTGATATCTATAAACATTCCTCACACACACACACACACACACACACACACATATACACTTACATGAATTAACGTTTCCGTTCCACATACACCTAGACAAACAAACGTTTCTTTACATACGCACTCATACACTATTACACATTTTAACATCCAAAATTTTCCTCACAAATATTTATATATTATCTATTGCGTTAATACGCGTGACACGTATCTGACCAATAAGAACTAACCAAAAAGCTTTAATAAAAGTGAAACATGTTAGATCGAGATACGCTTCCTTCTTAGTTGCCAAATGTAAGGGAGGATGTGGTCGCAGAAATTGTCTGAAAGTCATGGTTCTCCTGCATGTATGGTATGGTGCAGAGTCCTATTGTCAGATACTGGGTTTTCCAGCAGCCACTCTTTTAACCCAGGGTTGTTCTACCTCCTCAAGGCACTTGATGTAGGCCTTCGTGTTGGGTCTGATGCCCTCAATAACAAGTCCGTGAGTTCTTATCTAAATGATCAGAATGAGTTTTCCGAGCTGCCGTACATTCGTAATTACCATTAGAGTCATCCAACTGTTTTCGAATCCTCTACACTGTCCTCAGTCTGAAATGTTCGTATTGGACCTTCTACGCGGAAATGTCACGCAGTACAGCATTCTTTCTTTTTATGTGCCGTGTCCTTTCAGGAAGTAGGCGATCATGGCTCTCCACTACCTCCCTATCCCTTGTAGCTCTCAATAAGTTTCGTCCCTCTACCACTTCCACCAGACCACGTTCTGTCATTCACTTGCTTAAGCCCGCCATTATGACATGCGTTGCTTTCCCTTGTCTCTTTTTCCCTCTATTCGCCTTGTGAGTATCAGATTCTGTAGGCCCTCCTTTCTCATTACGTGTCCCAGAAACTTCAGGGACACTTCCCATGGCGGCCATTTTTTCAAGATGGCAGCCAGTGCCTCGTAGTGGCAGTTCATCGAGGAGGCAGAGTAGGGCAGTTAATTGATAAGGTCGAGTACTGATATTAAGTATAAGCCTTCTTTTTGTTTGCATCCTAAGACCTCATCGTTCCTCAAACGCTCAGTCCATAATATCCTCAGTATCCTTCTGTAAAACCATATATCCATTGCCGTGAGTCGCTTCTTCATCTTTAAGGAGACCGTCCAACATTCGCTGCCCTTAAGGAGGACACGTAAGAGCTCAGTACTCTTTTCTTTGTTACCAAAATCCTTCTGTCTCGCAATACTCTGCCCAACTTTCGGCATGCGTCCTCGGCCATCCTAAAACGTCTACGGATCTCAGTGTCGCACTAACCGTCCTCTCTCAAAACACTTCAAAGACATTTTAACTTCAGAACCTGCTTGATTTTAGTGCCCCTGTCCTGCAAATCGCATTTCGGGCTGAATCTTTTACTGGTGACCCTGCATTGTGTCTTCATGTAGTTTATGTTTCCCGCTCTCCTTCGCTATTTTCCGTACGAGGTTTTGTAATCTCTTTTCCGTATCTGCTATCAGTACAGTGTCATCTTATGTTGTTAAGATTGTAGCCACAAATGTTGATTCCCGGTAGGATTTCCAATTCTCTTAGAACTGTCTCGCTGTATAGGTTAAATAAGTTCAGTGAGAACACACATCCTTGCCTTACGCCCCTTTCTGTTTTTGCATATTCGCTGAACTCTTTCTATATGCGCATATGCATGCCGTTTGCTGCCAATATAGATTCTTGATTATTGTAATATCTTTCCTGAATAAATCAAGGTTGCTGAGAAGTTTCAACAGATCCTTGTGGCGTACTTTGTCGAAGGCTTTTGCGTAGTCTATGAAACATAGCTACACGTCCTTCAGCATTTCTATCGCTCATTCTAGTGCAGCAGATTATGCAAACCATCGTTCAAATTGTGAGATAAGCATGAAATTTGGCATAATTGTCCCTGATAGGTCACTTTTTCAGAAAAAAGTGCTAGCCACGAAAAAATCCAAGATGGCTGCCAAACGGGCCTCTGTTTCATACATTTTGCTCAAAAATCATAGTGCAAATTGTGATATAAACATGAAATTTGGCAGGAGTGTTCCTTGTAGGCAGGTTATTCAGGTGAAAGTGGTAGCCACGAAAAAATTTCAATATGGCAGCCTTTTTTCAAGATGACCGCTAAACGGGCCTCTGTTTCATGCTTTTACACAAAAACCATATAACAAATTGTGATATAAACTTGAAATTTGGCAGGAGTGTTCCTTGCAGGTTTTTTTTTCAGATAAATGTTCTGGCATTGTGAAAAATCAACATGGCGGCCATTTTTTCAAGATGGCAGCCAGTGCCTCATAGTGGCAGTTCATCGAGGAGGCAGAGTAGGGCAGTTAATTGATAAGGTCGAGTAGTGGCAGTTTCTCCAGGAGACAACATTCAAATTGAAATGTGAGGAGATATGAAGAGAGTGTATGTCGCTCACTACCAGGGCACGCTGGTGACAGATACTGCTGTGGAACTCAGCATGGGGTTCAATGTCAGCTAAACATGGAGTTTAGTATCCCAAATTCTATCTAGTAAGCCCCTAATATATTAGATCGACGTACCTGAATGGACAGGTTGTGCCAACGCGGGAGAGCCGAGCCAAGGATAACAGGGGCTTTTGAAGTTATCTGGATGGTGTACAGATCATTTTTATATATATTCAAATGGCATTGGATGAAAGATCGGGTTAGGTGTAGAGCAGTTGCATGAACCTAGTTGTATCCCATACATCAAAGTGAGCGAACGGTGGTAAAAGGATAAACCCTCGACTGTTCCTGTCAAATGATGGATAAAGATTCCACATCGAAAACTGATTGGAGCAAATGCTGCCTTTGTCAGCAGGAAAAAAAGCAAAGAAACCCACTTTTCACCTCTTAGTTCATTCCAGAGAAAGCAAAGATTATGCTGGATACAGTAATATTGCAAGAAATGTACCATTGTTTTATGCCATCAATGATATGTCGATAGCACTTGACCCTTCAAGGATTGATGAAGGTGAAGGTATAGAAACCACTCTGGTTTGAAATGGAGCTAAATATCATCAGAGTTGCCGATTGCTGTTCAACAACACCAAGTTAGAAAGAGCACAGCAAAGAAGAGCGGTCCCGAGCACCTCCGGAGCAACAGATGAACCTCGAAGCAAGAGACGAAAATCTGCAGACATTCCAAAAGTGGAATGTTTCTTCTGTGAAGAAGAAGATGTTATTTCGAATCTGCAAGAGGGGATGACAGAGAGACTAAATGAACCCCTCAATCAATGTGCCAGAACCCTGAACGATGGAAAGCTCCTTGCAAAAGTTAAGTGGCGGAGACGTTGTTGCCCTGGAGGTTAAAATACCACCTTCGATGCCTCAAAATTTGTACAATGCTGAAAGAGCGTATCTCAATTCCTTAGAGAAAGCAGAGGGTAGTGATCCAGGGAAGGATTTATACCCAGTGGCCTTTTCAGAACTAGTTATCTACAACATGGATAGCAAAGTCACCAACACGGAAGCAGCACCGGTTGTATTTCAGCTTGCTGGCCTAGACTCACCCTACAAGCTTCGCTTGGAACAGCTTGGGGTTGATTCCCCGAATGTCCACTCTACCAGGTTGAAGGAACAGCTACTTGCTCGGATTCCAGAACTTGAAGCCCATAAGAAGGGACATGATGTACTCCTTGCCTTCAAAGCGGACATAGGACCAGTGCTCCATGAAGCTAGCCAGTATAGCAATGCTCTCCATCTATCTAAGGCAGCAGATATCTTGAGAAAAGAAATGCTCCAGCACAAGACAAAATTCAGCAGCGAGCTCAAAGATTGCTTTGCTGAGGAGGCTATCCCACCTGCACTTCTTCAGTTCGTGTGCAGAATTGAACATGGTGTTGATATAAAATCACATCTGACGCACGGAATAGCGAAGTCAGACTTAGCTAATCCTCAGCTTTTACAGTTCAACTGCTACTCAAAACGTAGAGAAGACTTGACAACCCAAATACATTCTAAAGACCGCGAGGTCCCTTTTGCTGTCTATGTTGGGTTGAAGGTGTACGCCAAGACACGAAAAAGAGAGTTGATTGGCAAATTCCATGAGCATGGACTAAGCATATCGTATGACAGGGTATTAGAGATATCCGGCAAGATTGGTGAAACTGTGATAAACTGTGGTATGTCGAAGAAGATGTTGTGTGCCCACCAGTGCTGCGAAAAGGGCTGTTCACTACGGCCGCTTTCGACAACATTGATCACAATCCCACGGCCACCACAGCTAGCACGTCATTCCATGGTACAAGTATTTCCATGTTCCAGCACCCAAGTAGGGAAAACAAAGGAGAACAGCGGGTTTCACCGAAAATAACAGACAGTAGGACAAGAAAGGTTCCTAAGATTCCAGAGCATTATACAAACATTGTGCCAGCGTACTTCAAGAAGAACCCAACCCCAGCCTCAGTAGATGAAGTATCACTGCCTGATCCCAGTCTCTTCCAAAGGAACATAAGAGTCGAATACAAATGGTTTGAAAAAGTTCAAGGTACCACTGATGTAGATGATGAATCCAATATAACATGGTCAGCTCATCATGCGAGCCAGAAACGGACTAGAGAATGTGAAACCAGCATCACTTCCTTGCTACCTCTTCTCCGAGATCAAGCTCATAGCGTTGCCGCAATAAAGCATGCCATGAAGAAAGTAAGGGAAGCTGTAGTATTTCTTAACCCAGGGCAAACTCCCGTCCTGGCAGCTGATCAACCACTCTATGCCATGGCAAAAGAAATACAGCGGTACTGGCCAGAGGAATATGGAGAAGACAAGTTTGTGATCATGTTTGTTGGGCTGCACATTGAGATGACAGCACTGAAGTCTATTGGGTCGATGCTAGCAGACAGTGGATGGACAAGTGCACTTGTTGAAGCTGATGTAGCCTCTTCCGGAACTGCAGATTAATTCCTGTCGTCAACCAATGTCACAAAAACACGTCAAGCACATCAGGTCACAGCATGCAGTTTGTTTCAGCTCACGAAGAAAGTCTACAGTTCGTACCTTGCCGAACATTCTGATGGCGATGAGGAGGCCTCCAGCTTTGTGGAATGGTGTGATAGTCGAAAGAAGGAGAGTCCACAGTTTGCATTTTGGTTCTCTATCCTGAAGATGGAATTGACAATCTTAACACTGGTGCGAGCATTTAGAGAAGGGTATTTCAATCTGTATCGAGAATCACTGTCGGAACTGATACCCTACCTCTTTGCCAACAACAAGAAAGAAAGTCATCACCATGAGCAGTCGCCAACTGCTCAGAAGGTAGTCTTTGAAAAAGGTTCAGCGGCTTACAAGTGTGACAGAAGAAATGGGCAATCCATTTTCGGAAGTGTCCACTGATCTACTGTCGCTTGACACTAAGGACATTGCTGATCCTACAGCAGCGCTGCTGGTTGCATCTCATCTGGAGAAATTCCAGACATTCATGGATAAACTCAAGACCGACAGTCAGCATTTCTATCAGCCAATCAAACGGAATAATAAAGACTTCATCAAACCAAGCACAGATCCAACAGAGAAATCAGAAACACAGTTACTAAAGGAGGATTGTCAACTGTTCTCCCGCCTTTTCATCTCCTGCCAAAGCAGATGGTGTGATTTACCAGAGTTTATCACGAGTCTAGTCTGAAGCACGATCAAAACTCGGGAAAGCTATCAAGAGGAGAGTAACGGCAAAGAGCAAAACACCGACTAATTGGAAGAGCTTTCTAAGGGATAGCGCCAACAACTCGGAGCTGTTGAATTTCCTTGCTGACAAAGTGGGTAAAATGATCACAACAAATGAATTTCAAGCCATCCTGATACTAAGATAGACGAATTGGCTCCTTACACACATGAAGAGGCAGATACACGGATATTTTTGCATGCCTGGTATGCGGCTAAGGATGGACACAAGTCTCTCATGATTGAAGCTAATGACACGGACATTGTAGTCATAGGCCTAAGCCTGATGTATTCTTTCATTGCAATGGGCATGGAAAAAATGTGGATCGCCTATGACAAGGGGGAGCACACTCGATGGATCCCAATACAAGACCTTGCATCTTCTTTGGGACCGGAAAAAAACAGATACTATTCTTCCATGCATTTTCCGGATGTGATGTGGTATCTGGATTCAATGGCAAAGGGGAAAAAAAGCATGGCAGACATGGAATGTTTGCAAAGATGCCTCGGCTACATTTGCGAAACTCAGTCACTGTCCTCCTAAAATTAATGAGTCTGGTCTACAACTTCTAGCGAGATTTGTTGTTCTGATGCACGACCGGTCAAGTGCTGCTACTACAGTAGATGAAACAAGGTTAGATCTCTTTGCCAGGAAGCAGAGGTCATACGAATTAATCCCGCCAACACAAGGAGCGCTAAAGAACATGCCAAACGTGCTGCCTTCCAAGCAGGACATATCTGGGGGCAGTCCGTCGTTCGTGATCCAAAGATTCCATGTCCTTCCAAGTGAGGATGGTTGAAAGACGGTAACAAATGGAAAGTTGCCTGGACTTCCTTCGAACCAATTTCTAAAATCTGTCGTGAATTGACAAAGTGCAGATGTAAGATAAAATGTGGTGGAGGACGATGCAAGTGCTCAAAGGTTGGAACAGGCTGTACTCTGCTTTGCAGTTGCCCTTGTGAGATTTAGTAAACAACAACGAATGAACTTCGGGCTGGACTTTTATCGCCGGTTCTTGGAATGTTAGCCTATTGAAATTCAAATGCAGAGAGTTGTAAGGATATATATGACCTGTAGATATTTTACCAGATATGGACAATTTCCATGCTGGGTATTAGCACAGAAAGTAATTTTGACGTTGAATTGGACATTTCATCAGGATTGTAAATGTCGACTTTAAGTCATTTCATGTAATTATCCACCGTAGGGTATGGGCTCTATATCATGCCAAATCAATTGAAACAGTGCAATCATTGAGTTCTATCATTCAGATTTAGAATTGATACGGCAATAAATCAAAAATATTTCATCAAATTCAACTAATTTAATGATTTCAGATCAAAATCATAAAACAGAGCCCCGATTGGCAGCCATCTTGAAAAAGTGGCCACCATATTGTTTTTTTTTTTTTTGTGGCTAGCACTTTCACCTGAATGAGTGGCCTACAAGAAACACTTATGCCAAATTTCATGTTTTTATCACAATTTGCACTATAGTTTTTGAGCAAAACCATAAAACATAGGCCCGTTTGGCAGCCAACTTGAAAAATGGCCGCCATGTTGAAGTTTTTTCGTGGCTAGCACTTTTTTTCTGAATAAGTGACCCATCAGGAACACTCATGCCAAATTACATGCTTATCTCACAATTTGCACGATTCTACCCAAAATTTACATTTTCCTGCTCCACTATTCTGATAACATATTGAGCATGAATATTGTGTTCCTTCTCCCGGTATCTTTAACGAACCCGCACTGTTCTTGTCCTATCTCTGGCCTGATTCTGCTGCGTGCGCTATTCACCAGAATACGATTGATCAGTTTTGTTACGTGGCTCATTACGCTGATTGTTCGGTGGAGTTCACATTCATTTGGGACTGGTTTCTTAGGCATTATGCCGTTACCAAAATTGTGGCCTTTTTCTCACAGACGGTGCCCAACGATCCTACTATATTGAGCAGTCGACCAAATCAAAAACAGTCAATGCGCATGCACAAAATTAATAAATATAAAATGTCGACAATTAACCTATCGCGCCCTGTATATATAAAAAGATTATATTTAGCCAGGAGTACTTCTTTTAAACGTGTTATATATATATATATATATATATATATATATATATATATATATATATATATATATATATATATACGCACACACACACACACAAATAAATAGAGAGAGTAGATAATGAGAAAAAGTAAGATAGCTTTAAACGACACGTTGCGCTGGTGCATGTAGGTTCAGCTTCTTCAGGTCGATATGAAAGACAATACTCTAAGAAAAATGCGTTGTAATTTTGAGGATAAGAGGAGCAATAATTTAAATTACATTATAACATTTGGCTAAAACAAACCGTAAACTGTCTGTTTGCTTATATATATCTGAATAGATCGACATATATATGACAAGACCAACCGGCGACAGTCTGTTTTTATGGTTGAACACAATCTTCAAAGCTGAAGAATGCATGAAACAGAGTGTCGCCGTTTGGTGTTGAACTTATTGTTCATGTTTTACATACGCTCTATCTCTGATATAGAGCACTTTTACGCATAAATATAGCATACCATTAAACTATATTTTTATCACACACACACACACACACACACACACACACACACACATATATATATATATATATATATATATATATATATATATACATACTAGCCACAATGATCAGTTGTGATACAGCTAAACAGTCTGTATATATATATATATATATATATATATATATATATATATATATATATATATATATATATATATTTCAAATTGTAGTTTGGCTCATGGGTTCCCGAAACTGAAGCATTGTGCCCACGTGATGGTTCCCTCAAGTCTCAAATTATTCGTTAAATTTTTAAAACATATGGATTTTTATTCTTAATATTTTATCAAATGCTACCCTCAATCCAACATATTTTCTTTTCTGACTTCACCATCGAAAATATAAAAAGAAAGGTAAAAAAGGAAAATGGACGCACTTCGGTGTATATTAATTATTAACAGACATTGACCTTTTAATTTCATTTTTTTATTCCTATTACTATTATTACTTATATTATTCATATTACTAAGATATTTAGCCACCCCCCCCCCACGAGGGCGTCATGCGGCACAAGGCCTTTTTAATGTGGGCATTCCCGAGCCATTATTCATATTACTAATGTGTATTATTAACATTATGATATTTTTCTATATAAATAAATGTGAATATCGGTGTGTCAGTGCGTTGTACTTTACTCCTAGAAGCCGTAGACCAATATAACATACCATTTTGGAATTAGACCGACTCTGTGAGAAAATTAAAAATATTCTGGGTCTAATCCGGACCCGCAATCCTGAAATTACAGCGATTATTTTCGGTGAGTTTTACGTGATTTTTTGCAACCAATTTGTCTGTACGATAATAATTTTCCTAACTTGAAAATAAATTTTGGAATAATTGAAATTAACTGCAAAATCCGGTCACCCATGAAATAAACATAATTGTTTGTACGGAAAGTAAGGACCTACGTACATCAAATTGTCTTTAAATTAAATTAAGTGTTGGCAGAAGAATTATCGTTGAACTTTTATAAGATAAGCATAAATATTAATACAATACTTAAATGCAGCGATTAGTTTTAAGTCCTTCTGTAGTTTATTGTAGCCTATCGCATACGGCAGCAGTATGGCTCGCAAAAAGAGGGCCAGATTAGAATCAAAAGAGCCAAGACTACAGCGAGGAAAAGAAAGTCCCGTGCAAACCCAAATCAAACAGTAGCCAGAAGAGCTTCTATTACTGAGAATATGAAAAGACTTAGGGACACTCAAACCCCTGAACAAGCCGAAGCCGCAATTATGACCTATCCTTAGGAGCTAGCTTAATTAACGCGCGATAGGTCGACGTTTAAGCTATTTAATAATAATTGTTTAAGATTGTTCTTTCTGTTATGATTAAGTTCAATGATCGTCTTTGAGATTACGACTATTGAAATCGGTTGTATGACTAGTCGTGCTATTCATTGCAGTAATAGAATACACTGGTGACTGTAAAAAAATGTTAAACGAGAAAATAAGGATTAACAAATATATCAATTTATATTATCAGTATTATAAAATTTTGATAATAATTCATGATTATACCTTTATTACTGTTGTTTATTATCATTCATATTATTAATATTATCAATTCATATCAATATTATTATATTATGATGTTATACAATGACATTAATTTAGGATTATCAGTTTCAGACATCACAAATAGGATTTATTACACAACTACGTGACTCACAGAATAGAACGACATAACAAAATTCAGACTATAGGGAAAATCGAAATAATGACTTTCCACTTCCTTTGAAGACTTTAATTAAAAGTAATAATATCTGATCTTATGTTAATTCACTAATTCTCTTGTATAACTAAAGTCAAAATCTGTATTTTTCAGGTAGGAGAGAAAAAACTTCGCAGATAAAGCGCTGGAGTATTGCAATTTACAAGCGGAATTTGTTTCGTCTTTGATTCAGTGAATCTAAGAAAGAAAGAAAGAAAGAAAGAAAGAAAGAAAGAAAGAAAGAAAGAAAGAAAGAAAGGAAGAAAGCAGCGATTTCTGAATGAAAAAATTGTCTGATTAATGAAAACTAAAAGAAAGGGAATAAAACATTTAAGAAAGAAAGAAAGAAAGAAAGAAAGAAAGAAAGAAAGAAAAAAGGAAAGAAAGAAAGGAAACGAATTCTGAATTGAAAAAATAAAAGAAAATAAAAAGGAAGAGAATAAACCTTATTTAAGAAAGAAAGAAAGAAAGAAAGAAAGAAAGAAAGAAAGAAAGAAAGAGGCGATTCTGAATGGAAAAAATTGTCTGATTAATGAAGATAAACAGAAAGGGAATAAAACTTAGTTAAGAGCAAAAGAAAAAAAGAAAGAAAGAAAGAAAGAAGGAAAGAAAGAAAGAAAGAAAGAAAGAAAAAAGGAAAGAAAGAAAGGAAACGAATTCTGAATTGAAAAAATAAAGAAAATAAAAAGGAAGAGAATAAACCTTATTTAAGAAAAAAAGAAAGAAAGAAAGAAAGAAAAAAAAGAAAGAAAGAAAGAAAGAAAGAAAGAAAGAAATGCATAAAACTGAGAAAAAAGAAAGAAAAGCAGAATGAAAAAGTATGAAAAAGTAATAGAATGAAAAAATGTGAAAGGAATAGAAATCTAAAAATTTGAAGTAAACATTTGAATAATTGGATTATTACTAAATTATACGTTTAGATGTTGCAGTCGGAAGAGAAAATATATTTTTGTCCAAATTTAGTACTGGACGAAAAAAAAAAACTATTTCATTTTAGTCAATATTATTATCTTTTATCAACAGGTGCAAAAACGCACACTTTATTTAGATTTGTAAAATAATTTCTATCTCTAGGTCACCATTGAATAGCACTGAAATACTTCTCGCTTTTGATATTATTTTTTTCATTAATCTCTACTCTTTGTCCACGTGAACCAGGGAAAATATGGTAACAACATATGTGCACTGAGAGATAGTACGACCACCAACCTGACACAGTTAACCAAACAACGATGTAACTATTCTCTGGGACGTGCCAATTCAAACTGACAGGGAAATAAAAACGAACAGACCTGATATTATCACAAGAGACAAGGAATTCAGGAAGTGTATGCATATTGACATAGCAGTAACATCTGAGAGAAATACCTCCATGAAAATTATCAAGAAATTTTTCAAATACAAGGACCTGGAGATTGAGATTAACCTGATTAATTTAGGGAACTTATCCATAAGGAGTGATACAGTACAATCCATCAGCTCTTGTTACGGTTAGAATCATTAGCCTGACCACGAAGAACACATTCTATGGGCTGCCGGAGACGATATAGACATCAGCAGACGTAAATTAGACCTACCATGTCGTATATCTCTGTTATACTAGATCATACCTATTCTATTGTAAATAGACTCTCCCACAGATAAGCAGTAGTAGTAGTAGCAGTCGCCAGTTGGGCTCAGTGGAGTTGAGTGAGTCAGTCGATGTTGGACATTGAAGTATAAACGACCACAACTAGATTGCTGCGTCATTAACTATTATTTTAAGTTCCTAACGTTGTGTACGTCGGACCTAATTTAGGACCGACTTAGTGAAATACAAGCTTCCACTGTGAAAATTACTCTACAACAATCTCATAGTACCGAATGGAGCTCCTGTACCCGTATCATTTGCAACGTGTGCAGAGTCTTTTGCCCTCTTTTTTGGGAAGTTGAAATTAAAAACCCTAAGGTTAACTGGAAGATTTTAAAACTCACAAGAACATGTAAATCCTTATATTAACCTTGTTTCCTGTCTTTACGGGAGAAAATGCAGATAATCAGATTTTTAAATAGGGATGAGTTGTTAAAACAAAGAGTTGAACTAACCGTCAATTATAAGCATATTTCGCCTCTGACCCTGCAATCTTGCTAAACTTTAAAATTTAATAATCACTTCTTTTATGTTGAATAACCTTGTGATAAACATTTTAACTTACCCTTAATAAGTTAGATTTTCAGAGAGGGTATAGTATGTACGTTATTCCTCTACCATTACGGGTAATATTTTATATATATATATATATATATATATATATATATATATGGCTGATGTTTTATAACTTTCTATTGTTTTGGTTTATTAATATTACATATAAAACTCTTTAGTGTATTGTTATGCTCTATTAACTCGATTTTTTATATAATTTATTATCTTATTATTTTATTTTTATATGATTTATTTATACGATCTATGTACTTTTAAATTTGGTTAGTTCACATTTATTTTTTATTTTTTTAAATTTTTATTTAATTTTCTATTTTTCTTTTTTGTAATTTTGATAAATTTCTCCTGTTCTTTCCTTCTTTTATTTCTTAGAAGGTTTTTTTATTTACATGCTATGAAATAATTATTGTTAAATTATGCTGCCTCTTCACGGAAAATGTCAACTGTTTATATATCGTTATATTGTATGAAAATTCTATTTCAAATAGACTGTATATAACCGGTGTTTGAATCTATCCTTCACAACATCTTAACACACTATTTTTGATTGGTTAACCGATTCCCAGCATATCCTGTCTAGCTTCTTTACATTTCTGTATCATCCTTATATTTATCTTTCCCTTTTCTTTTTCTTAGTAAAAGAGACTATATCCGGTGTCTTTTTTTCCTTCTCGTTCTTCTTATTTTTTTCCTTCTTTTTTCTTTAGAATAGACTGAATCTTGTCTTTCTTTTCTTTCTTTTTTCGGCAATATCTTGTATTTTTCTTTCTTTTTTCTTTTTAGATGAGACTTTATCTTATGTCTTTCTTTCTTGTTTGCTTTCCTTATTTTCTTTTTTCCTTTTTTCGCGGGAAAAGAGATTGTTTATAAATAAATTTAAAAATTGTAATAACCATCATTTATCACTGCCTGATGAGATGCGCTGGTATGCATCAAAACGTGAATGCATTTATGTAGCGGTTTCATATGCTCGAATGTAATATCCTATAATAAAGAATTATCACCCAACTGTTGTATTGTTCCCTATTTGTAAATTAATATTATGAACGTGTTTATATTTGATTCGTTCTCATTTCATATATATATATATATATATATATATATATATATATATATGTGTGTGTGTGTGTGTGTGTGTGTGTGTGTGTGTGTGTGTGTGTGTGTGTGTAAGCAAATATGGATATAGATCCGACAGTATGAAGAAAAATATATACGGAAAAAAAAAAAAACAAAAATCCTCATATACAATTATGCTGTTTTAATGTTAATATGTCAACGTCGGACGTTTCGGTCTAATAAACCATCTTCAGAACATATTCATAAATTATAACATTATCAATACAACATGACAAAGACGATGTACATAAGAACAAGACTTATCCAAACAGATAACTGAAAGTTTATACACACACACACACACACACACACACACACACACACACACACACACACACACACACATATATATATATATATATATATATATATATATATATATATATATATGCCAGATAGTAGAAAATTGTGCAAATCATGTATCCACCCTACAAAATGGTTAATATCTAAAAAAGAAAACACTAAAATAATTGAGTTTCCTTTTTCCAGGTTTTCAGATAATACGTTTAGCCATAAGAATTTGTCGTAAGAATTTCAGAAAAAACCCTTTGAGTTATTCAGCTAAAATGGGTAACAGATTAAAATCGTCTTGTGTTAGCCTCACTATGTCTGAGCAATGGTGAGAGGAAAAAGATCATTCATGCCTTCATTAATGGTACCAAAATTCATACTCTGGCTTCCATCTTCAAAGTCTATCCAAGAATTATCAGGAGAACGATAAATAAGTTTAAAAAATATGGAACTGGATGAGAAAGTCACAAAAGCTGGAAGTATCACCATTTTAACTTAGAGCTAAATACATTCTTATTGTCAAACGGAGTCCAATAGATTTATAAAAACTCCGGAGAATTCCAGTGAGATGTATTCAATCTAAATATCTAAGATAAACGGTTGAATGTTTAATCTAAGAATTCGATAATTTTGGTGTGACACGATTTGGACAATTTTGCTGTTACACTAGTGTTATGGGACCTTACCCATAATAACATAATGGACTATTCCATGCGTAATAAATACTGCGCCTCAAGAAGAAGCAGGGAGTTCAGTCCGAAGTCAGACGACCGGCTGATCGGCTGATCGGTTGAACTCTCTGCCTTCGGGCGGGGAGGGACCCGAACGAGGCTACGCCGAAGGGCGGAGTCTCTTTCGGGGAGGTAAACCGACCCTGAACCCGTTTATACGGGTTCAAAGGGCATATTTTTGGCCGAGCCCACGGGCTCGGAGATCCTACATTAAACCGGCCTTGTGCCACATGACGCCCTCCTGGGGGGTGGGGGTGACTAAATACTGTTCCGTCTGAAGTCTGAGTTCCGTCTGAAGTCTGGAGTGAAGTCTGTCAGGAGTCTTGTCAGTCAGTCAGAGCTAGCAAGTCAGTCAGTCAGTCGAGTCAGAGGCAGTCCGAAACAGAATCGCGTTCAGACAATTACTACTAAACCTGATCGTTCGTACTAACACTTTTCTACCTCTCTGTATATATTCCTGTTTGTAATATATCTGTGTTATTCCATATCCGCCTTCGAGTTCTTCTTTATTGGTTCTACCTTGGACTATTACCGTGGTACAAGGAACCGGACCATAACAACTAGATAGGTAGCTAGAAAGCTATCTATCTAGCTAGCTAGATAGATAGATGTTGGTAGGGAGATCACACACACACACTCACACACACACACACACACACACACATATATATATATATATATATATATATATATATATATATATATATATATATGTATAGGTAAGTATTCCAGGAGTCATAGAATTAAAAATGGAAACTGATGAATCAATGTTATTTACATTTCCAACTACCCTTTCTAAAATTCAACATGTCACATCACAACAGGGTCAAGTCAAAGAAAACAAAATCAAACAATTAATTTGTAAATATTTACTTCCAATGAAATAACATCAGCTTAGCCACATAACATAAACAAATTCTGAGAGAGATCTTCCGATCCCAACAGAGTCATAAGTGAATTTAACTTAGAATGACATAGGTATTACAAAAACTAAAACAAACAAGACAAACGGAGATTAAAATGCGAAAAATACCTGGCCATGCTGATTGAAATAACAGTAAAATTAAATCAGGAAATTTTACCTCAAGAGAAATGGGAGTGGCTGAAAAAGAATTCTACATCAAGATACATGAGATTTGTCGAAAAACAATGTACCTCAAAAGGTATGATATTATTTGAAAGACGTAATATTTCCAGAGGCATGGCGTTCGTTAAAAAACGTTTTACCTCAAAAGGCAGGGGATTGGTTGAAAAAACATTCTACTTCACGAGACATGGGATTGGGGAAAAAACGTTCTAACTTAAGAGGCCTGAGATTGGTTCAAAACATTCTAGCACAAGTGATATTGGTTAAAAATATTATACTTCAAATGACATGGTATTAGTTTAAATTTCATCTTTTACATTGGTAAAATTCACTTTTACTTAATAATTTATTTTTTATATCGCTAACATTTTAATGCATATTTTGAAAAGAAGTTATTCTTAACTATCTATGGGTATATTTAAATTATATATATATATATATATATATAATTATTATTTATAAAAAATTTATAACATAAGTATGTTATAAAATCACTACAAAAATAGCCATTTTGTTTCAACACACTCTGTGTCTTATCAAGTGATGATTTTGTAGTGATTTTATAACATACTTATGTTATAATTTTTTTATAAATAATAATTATATCTGATCTACTTTGTATTGAGCACTCTTTTAAGAATAGTAATTGTTGGTTATTGGAATTCATTCCGTATATACCAATTATATACTTGGGTATATATATATATATATATATATATATATATATATATATATATATATATAGATAGATAGATAGATAGATAGATAGATAGATATAGTCGACTCTCCTGTCGAATTAGACGTATGAGGGTCTAGCAGATCAGTTCCCAGGAAACCGACAGCCCGACAACGGTACATGAGATTTGATTATAGTAGTGATGGTTTCGTGCAGGACCAGCCACACTTTTTGAAGGGCCGAATTCAGAGACCTGGTGCACTAAGAGCCCCAAGGTCCCCAAACGACCCCCCTCAGGTTTTGAATTCAGAGTGGTCCTTCTCCTAGACCAGTTACCATCCAAGGCTATAGAACCCAATCTAGCCTGCTATTTACCCATATCTGGAGGGAGAAGAAGAGGATTCACACGTATTAGCACGTAAGTGAATGTAATGGATTCGACTGGAATTCGAACTCTGCTCTCCGATTCCTCAATCCAAGCCGCTATATATATATATATATATATATATATATATATAGTGGGCACTGAGGTCAACATCGACCTAAGACGGTTTGTTTCATTAAAAAACGCAATCTTCAGACTATATTTACATTTACATACACTCTATCCCTGATATTGGGCACTTTTAACCATAAATATAGCATACCTTGAAATTTTATTTTTATCATAAGGTGTACAGCTTATGTACGTTCAGAATGATGGAACATAAACATTCAGAATAAAACATTTTCTTGTCATTCATTTCCGTGAAGCCTAGGATAAAATCAACCGATGTAGATGATGAGGAATTGGTAAAACCGAAGAGAAAGAGAATACACAAAGACAGTGCTGCCAATCTACAAGACACATATATATATAAGAACAATCAAACAGATAAAAAAAATGTTATAAAGAAACTAGAATATACAGGCAAAGGCATTTCCGCAAAACACCTGCTCGCTTCCGGATCGTCAATCTCTCTCGTTATTCCCTTTCTCTCGACACCGCCTCCCCGTTAGCAGTGGCGGAGATGGCAGTGAATGAAAGAGGGTTTGACGAGACCATCTGCGTGAATTTCGTTTTGGTGGGCAACTCTGCACGGCGGAGAAGACCACACAATTGGCCAGATGTGTCTGCCTCAAAAGGGATTGAGACAGGCAAGATCTGGCAAAACTGGTTGCATCGGGCTGTCGGATACTTGATCTCTCACGGCCCTCCTTCGCACTTACGACTGATTAGTGAGTTCGATCCTCACTAGGTGCCACGTAGTTGTGTCACATCTAAGCTACGCTTGGAAAATCACTATATCATTCGCGTCAAGCGAAAGCAGATACTGGCACAAATAGTCATAAGTAGGGTATTGGTGAGACTAGTGATTTTTTTTAAACCTCGGAGTATGAAGTAGGCTATCCCCAATCATACACCAGGGATTATTCATACCAAAGCTAAACTATACTCGGTTATATTCAAAGAAGTGGTTAATCGGGTCGTTACACCGGTTCAAATTGTGTGTTGTTCAGGGCAATCAATAATCAGCATGCAGAAAATGTGGTATAATTTAGGGAACTCATCCATAAGGAGCGATACAGTACAATCCATCAGCTCATTGGTTAGGGTTAGAATCAATTATGGAGTTGGTGAGGAGATCTTCACGGAAAATCTGAAAATGCATCACTTTACTGTGTAGATTGCCATCCCAGCACTCCCCGGGCACTTGAATAACAATTGCTGAAATCACTGTTTAGGTTCCCGGGGGTGGGGTTATATTTGAAAGGGGATGGTGACTCAAATTACATAACATATGAAATGTATTATTTACTGGATAAATGAGGTAGTTTTCTTAGACGTGGTACGGGAAATTTCTGATAATACCGCATATGTCTCCCCACCACCTTGCTTTCACTCTCTGGGACACATACCTAGATATGATATAAGTGTCACGGCAAAAAAGGAATATTTTAGAATTTTCTATCGTTTTGAGAAGAGCCATTAACATTCAAATAGTTCCTCAGACGAAATAACATTTTGGGAGCATTTAAGTCAGAAAAAAACAACCAAGAACAAGAAAACAATATTTGCTAAATTTTTATTTGTTACTAGTAGTGTATATTATTTTTTATTTCATAATTATTAACAAAAATCGCATAGCATTCCAGTTAAGCAAAAACTACAGCGGTTCAAATTGAGGTGTGTTCAGGGCGATCAATAACCAGCATGCGGAAAATATGGAATAAGTTTGGGAACTTATCCATAAGAAGCGATACAGGACAATCTATCAGCTCTTTGATACGGTTAGAATCAATTATGGAGTTTATTTTATTTTATTTATTTATTTTGTTGATACCATCTCAAGCAAGACAGTACAGCCACTAAAATGTAAGGGGCTACAGGATGTGGAGTATTTAGGAATAGAAATATTAGTAATGAGTAGAAAGAGAAAAGATCAGCCAGGTGGACAGCGGATAGAGACTGACATTGCATTTAAATTTTTGAAGATTAAAGTTGACTGGAAATCATGGAGCCGAAAGTGAGTTCCACAAGTGCGAGAAAAGAAACTGTTAGCATTAAGTTCACGGTTACATCTCGCCATCTCAGCTGTAAATTGATGAGATCTCGCCGCCAGTCTAGCACTGCACTTAAATTCCTACAGACTATTTACCATAGCGAAGAGCTCATCTAAACAATTAACATAAAAGTATTTATAAAAAAAAAAGGCACAGTGAGGCAACCTTACGGTGTTGGGCAGTTAACTGAAACCGAGCAGCTAGATCAGGACCAATAATATTGCCGATTTTTCTTTGGATTTTATCAAGCAGTCCCAGATAAATAGCAGGATCACCAGACCATATATGGCGGTAATATAATATAAGCAAGGACGAATGGTAGATTTATAGATATGCAAGATCGATTCCGGAGAGAAATCTTTTTTAGCATGACACAGTGAACCGTTTTTCTTAGCAGGTGACTGACAATGGATTCAATATAGTCTTTCTACTTCATATTACCTGAGAGCGTTATCCTGAGAAGGTGTAACGTGTCACTTTCTTGGAGGTTAGCATCAGCCATGCTGATGGAATGTACAGTTATTACCAACAGATGTGCATACTCTAGAGCACTCTTATTTGTTTACTTATACCCAACAGCTGTATTAATTGATCAAGATTAGGTCCTTTATTTAAAAAAGATGGTTACCTGATCACTGTTGAAATCGTACATATCAGCGACTATTACGAGTTTGTAGAATTAAGCCATCAAATGACATTCTACTTAAGAAAACCAGTTGTTAGTACTAATAGTAAAAGGGGATTTAGACTGGTCTGAGAGTAAAAACTCGGCTATTTTATATCTTGAGATAAGAAATATACTAGCCCCAATCGTAACCCATGGGTTACTCTGGACTAGTATAGACACTACCCTGGTCTGTTCTCGGAAGGTGTTTATCTGGACAGCTATACATGTATGAGTTCATCAAAGCTACGAAGTACAAGTAAAATAACTAATGCAGTACAAAATGGAAACAGAATTATACCATAAATTTGGTCAGCGCACCAAATATTAAGATGAGAATGCTGTTTTATTGGTATGCCAATAGGATTAGGTAAGGTGAATAGGTGAATCAAGGGTCAGCCGTGGTTGTCCGGGATCAACGAATTCGTAAAGAGAGTCATGAATGAATTTGCATGAAAATATGAATGTTTGGCGCGATTCCTGGCTTATGTAATTGGGAAATCGGTTGGATGTTTAGAATTATTGCCTGGAAAGAAGAAATGAATTGAAGAGAGAAACCATGATGGGGGGAGGGGGGAAAAAGAAAATGACAAAGAAAAACGGAAAAATAGGAATCCAGAGAAAGAAAGAAAATTAGGAAAGAGAAATAAAGAAAAAAAGCATAAATGAAAGAAAAAACATGAATTAAGGAAATAAAACATACGAAAAAAACCAAAAGAAAGAAAGAAAGAAAGAAAGAAAGAAAGAAAGAAAGAAAGAAAGAAAAGAAAAAAAGAAAAAAAGAAAGGAAGAAAGAAAGAAAGAAAGAAAGAAAGAAAGAAAGAAAGAAAAAGAAGCAAACAAAAAAGACAAGATAAAAAGAAGGAAAGAGAAAAAGAAAGAAGCAAGAGTGAAAAAAAGAAAAATATGAAAAAAGAAAAGTAAATGAAGATAAATAAGAAAGAATAAAAAAGAAAGACATGAAGAAAAGAAGGAAAAATAAGGGAGGGAAGAAGAAGAAAATGAAAGAAAATATAACGTAAATATTAAATAAGCAGAGAAAGAAAATGAAAAATGACTCATAAAGAAACCGTGGAAAAACAAAATAAAAAACAGAAAACGAGTAAAAAATATTAGAACGTAAATGGAAATAAATATACGGTTAAGTTAAGAAGAGAAGAAAAAGAAACAAAGAAAGAATAAAATAAAAAAGCTGAAAAAGAAACGAAGTCTAAAAGAAAAAAAGGAAGGAAGGAAGAGTAAAGAATGAAAAAAAGAAAAATACAAAAATGAATGACTAAAGAAACAGAAAAAGATTTATAGAAAGGACAAGAGAAAAGTAAAAGAGAATATAAAAAATAACAGCGAATCGTATGTAAAAGTAAAAGAAAGACTTTTCTATTTGAAAACCGTATTAAAAAAAAAAAACAAAAACAAAATGGAAAGAACATAGAAAAAAGGTGAAAAAAGGAGAAATGAAAAATGAAGGACAAATAGAAAAATAAATGAAAGAAGAAAACAGTAAGAAAGAATGAAAAGAGAGGAAAAATGAAAAGAAAATAATAAAAAGAAGGAAGATTGAATTAACGATGGAAAAAAGCAAGTGAAAAAACTGAAAAAAAAAGGTGGAAGAAAAAAAAAGCTGATAAATAGTAAATAGTTTAAAAGTAGCAAAATGAGAAAAAGAAATTAACGAAATATATTTTATTTAAGAATGAATGAAATCGTGAAAAATAAAAAAAAGTATGGAAAGAAAGAAAAATAAAAAATAATGGACAAAGAAAGTGGCAAGGGATTACTGGATAATATAAAAAGTAAGGATAAAAATTAAACAAAAAGTGTAGAATTAAAAGCATGTAAAGAAAAATCACACACATATATATATATATATATATATATATATATATATATATATATATATATATGTGTGTGTGTGTGTATAAGAAATATGCAAATCACCCCACCACACACGCACATGCACACACACACACGTAGTACATACATACATACATACATACATATATATATATATATATATATATATATATATATATATATATATATATATGTATGTATATATATATATATATATACATACATATATATATATATATATATATATGTGTGTGTGTGTGTGTGTACATGTGCGTGTGTGGTAAGTGATTTGCATATTTCTTATGCATATAAAAGTGTTTTATTTATAATACTCTTAAAAACCTTTTAATATACATAAAAATAACATGCACAATAAAAAATGCTATTTTAACATATTTATGTACACACACACACACACACACACACACACACACATATATATATATATATATATATATATATATATATATATATATATATATATATAAATTAAATTATCTAAATTACGCAGAAATGAAAATAACTCTGACGACTCATTTTGACAGATATATTTATCAAAATTACACAAAAATATCTTGAAATACTAACGAGTCAATTTATTCAATAAAATCGCCATTGGTAAATGCTGCCATAATACTTGCCTTCATCTTTGGTGTTACAAGTAGTTTTGTTGGTCTCAACTACGCTTCACACATAATAATCAAGTGCCGTCTGGAGAGTTAGGTGGCCAGATATCAGGAGTGATGTGGTCGCAGAAATTGTCTGATAGCCATGACAGGGTTTTCCTGCTTGCGTGGCATGGTGCAGAATCTTGACTCAGGGTAGAACTACTTCCTTGAGTGACTTTTATAGGCCTCTCCGCTGAGTTTGAATACCTTGCCGACAAATTAGGGAGTTCGATTCTTATTAGAACGTTCAGAGTGAGTTTTCCGAGCTGCCGTACGTTTGTAATCACCATTAAACACATCCAACACTTTCTGCACTGTCCTTAGATTAAGAACGAAACACTCTGAAATGTTCGTATCGGAGCGAATCGCATCATAGTGCTCTTTTTATCATAGACGGTGCCCAACTGACTTTATTATACTGTGCAGTCGATAAAATAAAATAAAAAAACAAACACGCATGCGCGAAATTAAAAATGTAAAATGTCGACACCCTGTATATATTCAGTTTATGGTTTCAAGAATCTTATTTAATGATGCATCATATTAGTTAACTCAAGAGTTGTCGTTCTTATTTTAAGTAAATATATAATAATTCTCATAGTGTTATTGACATTTATTGTGTAATTTCGAATATATAATGTTGATCATGTGTCACACGAAAGATATGAAGTCAAAACCAAACAAGATATTAAGAATTTTGAAAAAGATAAATAGAGAATATAGAACAATAAAAAAGAAAAAAAAACATTAGTAAGAAAAGAAACAGAAGAAAATACTATCACAAATTGAAAAAAAATTAAATGATTAGTAAACAAAAAAAAATACATTGACCAGCAAAACTTAGAATTTGATGTTGCGATTGTAACGAGAAAAGATACTAAAATATTGTTATAGTAGCTAAATACATAAACGAAACCAAACTAAAATATTTACATAAACATCAAAAAGAGAATAATGTCTATGTTTGGTGAAGAAGTACGAGAAAATTGTTTTCTAAATACTAAATGTTAATGATGAATATAGAGCTACATTGGATGAAACTGATAGCCTGCTAGAAGTTGGGTCCTTCATAAAACTATCAAACCAAAAATAATTTTCCAAATGTGTAGGAAGAGGAAGTAATTTTTTCGGCTTGTATTGTAAGTCCTAAATTTATAGGTTACCTTGTCACAATCAAAAGGTTTTTAAATATATATATATATTTATGTAAGACAATGATCCTTCATATTTTTCAAAGATGACAATTGCCTAACTTGCCAAAAAAGATGCCAAATTAATTTAAGAACCTCCTGATTTCTTCAGATTTTAATCTAATATAATTCAATCATTAAGAGTTGTATATATAAATAGAAAAAAATATTTTCTGGAAAGCAATAAAATCAACTGCAAGTAATGTTCAATGGCAAGATTAAACATTTAATTTGTTCAATGTGTGAAAAGCCGATGAAGCCTTTAGAATGTCAAGGAATTTATGCATGCAAAGAAATAAAATAATAATTTATACTTCCTTTTCTATGTGGCATCTCCTGTTAGAACGTTGGCGATCACGACTCTCCACAATTTCCTGTTCTTTGTAAGACTTAATTATGTCTTTTTGCTATCTCTCCTAATCCCCGTTCTACCAAACATTTGCACAAACTCGCTACGTAGATTATGAGCTGTTTTCCTCTTGCCTTTAATATGTCCTGTGAGTGTCAAATTTTATAAGCCCTCTATCTTCATTATTTGGCCTAGAACTTTTAACTGTCTCTTTCTGATGTTACGTAAATGTGTCCTTTTCATTTATGTGAACTCTCAGCATCAGACAGGCTTGATCTAATAACAAGAAACCAGTCACGAGAATTGGAGACTGTCTGTGCTGCGAACAATTAAAGAAGTCTGACGGTAAGACACTGGCAGGGATGTTAATTCCTGCCGCCGGAATCCACCCTTCAAATCTGCAAATCAACCATTGCATGGAATACTGCTGCCATATATGGTCTGGTGTTCCTGCTGTTTATCTCGAGGCCCTAGACAAAATCCAGAGACGGATATGCAACGTGGTTGATCCTGATCTGGCATCCTGTCCACAGTCGCTACCTCACAGACGTGCTGCGGCTTCCCTCTGCATTTTCTACAAGTACTTTCATGGAACCCATGGAGCTACTTTTATTGGTTCCCAAATTGCATGAACTTAAGCGAACTTCTAGGTTGGCATCTCGGTCCCAACGTTTCACTGTCGAAACGACTAAATGTACTCCAACAGCTTCTTATCTTGCACCTCCCGTCAGTGGAACTCCCTTCCTATCACTTGCTTCCTTGATAGCTATAATCTTCAAATATTCAAATGTAATGTCAATCGACATCTTCTGATGCCTTGACCTTGCTCGCTGTCCTTCTCTTTATCCTTTCCCCTAACACTCCTCTTTACTTTTACCCTCACTGTCTGTAACCCCTTGCTTGGGGCGATTTGTTTAAAAAGAAAATAAAAGTCCATGGTTTTCTCAGCATCCTCCTGTAGAACCACGTTTCTGTTGCTTCAACTCTATTCTTCATCTCTGAGATGACTAGTGTGCAAGTGCCGTAAAAAATTGTTAGAAAATTTGAATAGTGATATCCAATGAAACAAATGTGTCTTGAAACAATGTATTGAGATTCAATAAAGCGAAGACAAATAATTCACAACTAAAATTAAAGGCCAATGAACCGTTCAATTGATTCGTTCTCCTCATTTTTTTTTTTTTTTTGACATTCAATCGTATCTATGATTCATTAATTACTCCTGGTATTATATAAGTTGCTTTTTGCTCAATATCTTTTCATGTTAAAATTGTATGTGTTTAATATAATAGTGAAATGGAAATATCTCTCGGAAGAAAAAGATTAACAACAAAATGATAAAGACGGCGATGACAAAGCCTTTTTCAAGACCAATTTGAAGTAAGATGATAAAGTAATATACAAAGATATCTGAGTTCCTCATATGAAAGGCTTTAACAAATAAGACTGGAATATAAGAAATGTAGGAATACAGAAACTGATTAATTAAACGGTTTATTTTGTTCGGGAAATAATTTTCTTTGAATAAATAAATATTTTATTTATATAAATTATTAGAACGAAGAAGAGAAGTAATCACTCATAAATTTGCTTAAACTAAAGTTGCTTTACCTCCCTTCCTGGATATGAAATATATAAACAAATACGGACAGGAAATATATAAATACATACACGTTCATTATGTGGTTCGATTATCCAGCAATCAATTTTATGATAATGTGCTAATCAGAAATTTATTTTAATTGTTTCTATATTTGTGATATATATATATATATATATATATATATATATATATATATGTATGTAAAAGGCAGGATGTGTGTGTGTGTGTGTGTGTGTGTGTGTGTGTGTGTGTGTGTGTGTGTAACGAGTGCACGGCCGCAATTTTCGACGGATTTGCACCAAAATTTACATGCACATGCTCCAAGTTAGAGGGAAGGCCAAGACCGTCTTTGCATTTCCCAACTCCAATCGATAGTGGAAATAATCGATTTTTTCATGCTTCTACGACAGTTTTCATGTAGTTTGCGGCCATTTTCTACTGACCAGAGTGAGAGCCTATAGCTGGCTGCCACGAATAGGCAGGAAGATTCTATTGGCCAGCGTGAGAGCCAACAGCTGACTGACATGAATGTTAAATAGCATGCTAGCATGCAAAAAAAATCGATAGCTCCATTCGTCACAAGTGGGAAAAATTTATATCTGCATGGCACTTTACTCCAATTGGCTGATTCGCTTGCTTAAACTCAACGTCGATTCTGATTCCGCAAAACTGGGTTGGGTGTGAAAAATTATTTGTTGTTAGCATTCTTTTTTCATTCGGTTTTTCCAGTTACCTGTCCTTTTTTTAAAGCTGATCGTTTTGTGTTCATTTTGTTTAGTTCTTTTTTCGTAACAGATTTAATGTTTAGTATAGAGCTTAGAAAAAATTCCCAGTGTGAGATAGGCAAGAAGTAAGGCATGTAGCAACATCAGCACGGCAAACGGCACTCCTTTGAAGGAAAGGAAGGGCAAAATATTTTAAGTCAAGTGATAACGATTGCTGTATGAGTCGTACAATTTTTTAATCAAGCACGGGCAACACCGGGTCATGCTGCTAGTATATATATAATATTATGTTGCATCTAGTTTGCATAATAAAATCTGGTAACACCAACATTATCAATATTCCTATTCAGAACTTAGACACTCTTATATATTCTACTCCAACTCTTTACTTCTAACGTCTCCGCCTTAACACTGAAATTTTATTTACTCTATTTTTTATCAATAGAATAGGTTCGCCTATTGTCTTTCTCACACACCTCCTCGGTCTTTTTTAGCAGGAGTAGAGATTTTTCCCTTGTTTCCTGTTTAAGATTTTACTTCCGGTTCCTGTTAGATTCTTTTCTTTCTCTTTCACTTCCGGTAGCCCCTGGCGTCAAAGTGGCATTATCGCTTTCCTTAAGTGAATTGATTAAAAAAATCTTAAACTCATATCACGTATTGTGCATATACGCAAATATAGGTATATTCCGTAAATGTTATGAAACAGCGGGTGATTAATAACACTTTCATTCTGAAAATACGGGGACACACACACGCACACACACACACACACATATATATATATATATAATATCGGTTGTCAATAAGAATTCATTGTATACGCACGTTATATATCTTCCAAAGGTTGTCATAGATGGAGGTGATATTGGGGACAAGCTCCCACTGTCTATAAAATGGTTCCGTGTCATGCATCTCAAATAGCCTCTGACAACTAAGTTCAGCTCCAAGCTGGAGAATGGGCGAAGGCGGAAAAGTGGCGCCTCATAACCAGCTGCATCGGGTAGATGGAACTCGACAGACCAGAAAAGCAGTTCATCTATGGGAAGAAAATCCTGATGTTAGACCTCCGCTGCCTTTCAGTCATATCCAAAGACGGAAAAGGCTATAAAAGAAATCCAGACAGATAAACCGGTGTGGAGACCTGAAAAGTGTTGGCTGTCCACACTCATAACTTTCTGGCAACTCCTGCAGCCAAATCGATTCCAAATATAAAGCCCTGTATTCCTTTGGATCTTGTCGGCTCGATCACGACTGAAAGGTGGAAGCATATAGTTTCGGCAGCGTACGCCCTCTATATACTATCGTCCATGTCTGCACTTTGAAGCGGTCACATCATTCTCACCACTAAAAGACTGAATTTTGAGCAAAGAGGACGCTACCTTTATCTCGCGAGATTAACGGATGCTTAAGAATTTATTCAGCCATCATTTATTGAATCCATCCCCAACATAAAGAAATTCTCCAGAATTGATGTTTTACTTCGAGTAATTTTGACCATTTTTAGTCATTATCAAGAATGTTAAAATAGAGAAAAGATGTAGTTCATATTGGATTTTCTTTAGACATGATATCATTTGAAATTAGATGAACGATTATCGAATGCAAGGGATGTTATGTGGAAAAAGGTTGGTAAGGGTTATAAATTTAACAGATAATTTCTATGAAACAAAATGGATTCTTTTAGAAACGAATGCAAAAAATATAAAAATGATGTAGTATTATCAAGAATACTTCACTGTCAGGGCCCAAATAGACGTTTAGTTATTTATTATTCGTTTCTTTTCTGAAGGAATTTCACTCATTGGCCCACTACACCTACATTCTCTATGAAGCATACGTAGAGAAAATTTCTCTACATATCTGTATACACACACACACACACATATATATATATGCTATCGTTCAAAATTTTGAGAACACTCCTGATAATATTTTAAAAAGTAGTTGTTTTCACTTTAAATAAGAGAATATTTTTATACATGTTTAAAAACATGCGATATGATTCTTTATTAGAAATTTTATTAAGACAAAAAGAAAAAAGCATTTTATGATAAAATTTGGCTCTCGTCAAAATATCCTCCTTTAACTTTGATTACTGCAGCACAAATTTTCGGCATTATTTGCAAATGCTTCTCAAAGTATAATTTTGATAATTGGTACCATTCTTTTTTTCAATGATTCTTAGAGCACTTTTTCATTTTTGCGATGGAAAGGATTCATTCTTTTGTCAAGTATATCCCAAGCTAATTCTGAGGGTTGCATCAAGCTTTTGAACTGTAGTGTATATATATATATATATATATATATACGACCATTTATATATATTTTGCACGTACCTATTCATATGCACTGGTCATATTTAAATATTTATACATACCTTTGGCATATGTTCATTTGCATCGGAAACGCACACCCATAAACAAGCACAGGCAGACATACACGCACACCAGCACACACAAATGCATGCATATATACATATTTCTATAGATATGCTTCACGCTGGATAAGTATTTATGGCATGGCATGATGGAAATATTATGGTTTTAAGGAATAAAAGAAAAAGTGCTCAGTGGTTTCGGGCAAGAATCGGTCGTTTTGTGGAGAGAAGCATGTCAGCACGTAATTATATCCTGCCGCAAACCGGCGGGAAAAAGAAGCAAAGAGAAATGACGGGAGAACAAAGAAACAGAGAAAAGTTCTAATCTCAACAAGAATAATAAAGAAAGAGAAGAAAACATATCTGTAAAAACAAACAAAAAAACGTGAAAAAGTTTCAACAGTAACTGTCACGTTCGTTCTCTCTGGTAATAAAGTTTTCTTTTGCCCATCGTATCGACTAATGTATATCGGCTTCAAAATCCGTAGATATGCCAGTCGGTGTGTACTGGGGTGTACTAGGCTGTTTGTCAGTGGAGAGTAGGAAAAACACATAGTCAGACAGTGATAGATAGATAGATAGATAGATAGATAGATAGATAGATAGTATAAAAAAGATATATTTAGAATCTTCGGATGATAAATGTCTATTAAAATTCTTATCAGAAAAGAATACAACGATTATTAAGCCGATTGAAACACAGAGAGGTTTGATATGAATCAGTAGATAGATTATGAAAAGACTGAAGTGTATATACATATATATATATATATATATATATATATATATATATGTGTGTGTGTGTGTGTGTGTGTGTGTGTGTGTGTGTGTGTGTGTGCGTGCGTATTTGTGTATTTATGTAATTTTGAATCAGTTCCTATACATTTCGTAATTAGCTCTTTCCGTTGATCTAATAGGTTGCATTGATTTTTGTATTTTATTATCTTGATTGAGAAACAGCTTTCACCTTACTCTAAAATTATTGAGAGTGTTCGCGAAACCTAAAATTTTCCAATTTATTTGAGGATTCAGACTCTTTTCCTTCAATTCCTCAAATTTTGGGAATTGAAGGAAAAGGGTCTGAATCCTCGAAAAGCCTCTTATAAAAAACAAGGCGTCTTTCAGAGGAGGACTGATATCGAAAATAAATTCCAAACCCCAATTCCAGACAAACACTTAAGGGCTGAAGACAGCTGGTGTTCGACCAGCTTGAATTAGACTATACCCATGTGGTGCAATTTTGTTTTTTCCTGTAATACATTTTCAAATTACCAACAATACGTATTTATTGTAAAATTACTGTGACACCATTTAGGGGCACAAAAAGAAAAAAAAGAAAGGAAAAAGAGAAAGGAAAGAAAGGAAAAGAGAGGCGAGACTTAAGCTTAGATGATAAAGAAAACCACCCACGACCGGGATATTTGACAATGTTATTTTGATAATGGAAAAAGATGGTGAAAATTCTGACGGCCAGAGTCGTAGGACTGCCTGACAAGGGCCAGGTGAATACAGAGCTTGGGATAGATAAGAAAAATTAACTGTGTCAGGGTGGCAAACAATATTGTCGGGAATAGATAACAGCCACTTAGTGCCGGCGAAAATCTAATTGACAAATTCCAGACCGGCTAGCTAAACTCCGGGACAGAATATATAAACATTTAACTGTGTCACAGGACTGCCTGACCACCCACGAGGAAAAGAGGTTAAGTCTTTGTCGAGGGAAAGATATCGTTAGACAAGGTCTGGGTTTTGTTAGAAAGGCGATAAGTGCGAAACAATATTATCGGAAGGGATGGCCATATTTGCTGGACGACCACCCATTCTGATAATTGGCGAAAATCTGACTGACGAAGTCCAGATGAGAATTGATGTTATCACTGGTCGCATTGTTCTGTTGGCGGCCAGAGAAGAAGAGAGAATAGAAAAGAAAAGAAGGAAAGGAAATAGAAAAAAAGAAAGAAAAGAGGAGATAATTCTTTTTTTGTCTTTGGGCAAGATATATTTTTTTAAGAAACAAGGCTAGTCTGGTCACGCCCACTGTTGATCTGTCATTGGATGAATGTTAACAAGAGCCAGGCGGAGGTGATAATGTGATGCAGGGGAGGAGGCCTGCCACTACTCCTTCAAGAGGATAGGTATAAGATGTTACTGCGAAGAGGTGGGGGGATCGTTGGCGCCCTCTGAAGGTAGGGGTGGGAGAGGACTTCCAAAAATGGAAATAATAAATTTTTCCTGACCGAAAACAAAAGAAGGGGATTGGGGATTTGGAATTATCAAGGAACCTCAGACCCCAACAAAACCCACCCCGGTTTTGGTCGGCGTCCATATAAGCAAAGTCGCAGCGAGTGAAAATCAGAGTTTTCCCAGAGAGTTTCCGAGAGAGTTTTCCACAGTCTCCAGTGCTCAGTTAAAGCGGGTCTCGCAGAGCTGACTTGAAAGATTCGCGCAACTTCCGAACTCATCTTCAATCCAAGAACAGTTTATTTTTGAAGAGCGACTTAGATTCATACCACCAACACAAGTGTTACGACTATCGCCTGAAGACACACCAAGAACCAATTTCTTAAGGAACAGACAACTTAAGATGTTAAAACTCACCTAACAAAAACAACGTGTCACAATCCATATAGCGGGTCGGGAAATAGACGCTGTACTATGTATCCAGCAACCAGATATAAAGTATTGTTATCCTTTTTTTTGATACCTTGAACTTTTGAGTTATTATTTTATTTTATTTTATAAATATTTGTGCGATACCACCCTCATTTGAACTCAACTTGCATTACGGCCCCAACGACTGATTGATTTCGTCTGCCTAAGATCAATTCACAACGTGGGTAGGCGGACTGGAGTTCAACGCAGTTACTTTGGTAACCAGACGTTGGAAGCGAGTTGGGAACGACGAGGCTGATATCGGATCTGACCAGATTCCCATCCGAATCACCAAAAGGTTAGAAGGTCACATTTGGGTGCCGCGACCAATACCAAGCCAGTTGATCGTCACAGGACGGGACAACACGACTGACGCAGACAGGCGGACGTCACGTTTGGAGCGGCGACACCCGAACGAAGCAGCGAGGAGCGAGCGAAGGCTGTAGAGGGACGTCACATTACCAACAATACATTTTATAGTAAAATTAGTAATAATACATTTTATAGTAAAATTATCTACAATACATTTTTATAGTAAAATTACCAACAATACATTTTATAGTAAAATTACCAACAATACATTTTATAGAAAAATTACCAACAATACATTTTATAGTAAATTACCAACAATACATTTTATAGTAAAATTAGTAATAATACATTTTATAGAAAAATTATCAACAATACATTTTGTAGTAAAATTATCAATACATTTTTATAGTAAAATTATCAACAATACATTTTTATAGTAAAATTATCAACAATATGTTTTATAGCAAAATAACCCAGCAATATATTTCATCTGTAGTTGAAGGTATACAATAGCGTGCCAAATATATTTAGTTCAAGTCAAAAAATTGTGTTCAAAATATTTAGATTTCGGCATTAAATAACCTTTAAATAGAAAGTGATATGCAATTAAACCTAACCAACAGATCTTCAAGAAGCGGATGATCATGGCTTTCTAAAAATTTCTGTTCCTTAACCTCCTCACTAGCCCGATTTTTCATGTTGTGCTATCCATTTACACAAGCTCGTTTCAGTATGTCTTGTGAGTGTCAAATTCGTCAAGCCCTCTTTCTTCATTATGCGTCCAAGAAATTTCAGTTGTCTTTTTTTCTGATCCTAAGCAAAAGTGTCCTTTTCATTTCTATTTTCCATAAAACTTCCTCGTTGGTCACATGTTTCATCCATGACTTTCTCAGTATTCTTCTGCAGAACCACATCACCTCCACTTTTCTTTTCATCTGAGCAAAGTGTCCAACATTCACTGCCATATAGGAGAATTGATATTAAACAGTCCAGTTACCTTTGTAACGAAGTTTTCCTGTTTCTTAATATTGTGCAGAGTGTCCTAAGAACGTCACAGGATTTTAGAGCCGCATTTTTCATCGTCTGTTTAATACTTGCCAGATTATGTAGTACGTATCATGAAATGTCTCTATTTCTAATGCCCATTCCTTCTGTCGTTTTACAATTGATGCTTAATGCTTTCTTCGCGCTTTCCTTGTCTACTACCTTATCTAGAAATGCATGCAGTTTTCTTTCTGTGTCTATCAACAATGCATATCTGTTATGGTCCGGTTCCTTGTACCACGGTGATAGTCCAAGGCAGAACCAATAAAGAAGAACTCGAACACGGATATGGAATAACACAGATATATTACAAACAGGAATATATACAGAGAAGTAGAAAGTGTTAGTACGAACAATCAGGTTTAGTAGTAATTGTCTGAACGCGACTCTGTTCGGTCTGCCTCTGAATCGACTGACTGACTCACTCGCTCTTACTGACTGACAGACTCCTGACGGACTGAACTCCAGGCTTCAGACTGTACAGTATTTAGTCCCCCCCCACCACCACGAGGGCATCATGTGGCACAAGGCCGGTTTAACGTGGGATCTCCGAGCCCGTGATCTCGGCCAAAAATATGCCTTTTGAACCCGTATAAACGGGTTCAGGGTCGGTTTACCTCCCCGAAAGAGACTCCGCCCTTCGGCGTAGCCTCGTTCGGGTTCCTCCCCGCCCGAAGGCAGAGAGTTCAACCGATCAGCCGGTCGCCCGACTTCAGACTGAACTCTCTGCTTCCTCTTGAGGCGCAGTATTTATTACGTATGGAATAGTCCATTATGTTATTATGGGTAAGGTCCCGTAACAATATCTTATGTCGTTATGTTCATCAGTATTACATTCCGGAAGAACATCCAGTCTCACTGTATATAAATAAACCTGGCGAGAGATACACCCTTGTCGTAGACGCTTTTCTATCTTTGTTTACATGCTCGATAAATTTTCTATCCACACACTTTTAATTTTTCTGAAATCTCATTGTGTGGTATTCTTTCATTCACTTTTGTCTCTTCTTTTTATCCTCAAAGAGGCTATTTTTTTTTTCGCTGGCTGAATGAGGTGCCGTATAGACTCTAACAAGTTTGGTTCTCGCAACTCTTGACATCTCCGTAATAGTGTGTTAAATAAGAGTAAGTCATCTATTCTTTCACGCTTCACTCATTTTACGGTCTTATGATCTTCAGCTGATCAATCCGAATGTTTTGCTCGTAAATTCTCTTCCAATTCTACTCTTGACACATGTGGAGTATCTCTGCTGTACTTTCCAACTAGAACTGAGTTGTATGATACGCATATAACTCGAACCATACTCATTATATCTAAACGGAATACCCACAAATCATGTGATCATGATGGTATTCCTGCAATAGTCCTTGAGAAATGTGCGCCTGAACTGGCTCTTGTTCTCTCTAAACTCTTAAATAAATGCCTTACTTCTTGTTTTCCAGCTTGTTAAGATAATTTTCTCTGAAAAAAAAATAAATTTCAGCATTACATGATCCATAAGAAGTTGATATGCTGTTAAACAAACAAATCAAATCTCTAATGTCGTGGAGGCTGCCATGAAAAACCGGATGGCCGAAAGATTTCAAGTCATGATGGCTTCACCACCAGCAGGAATTATTTATAGAAACTACAGATTAACCTACCTCGAAGGAACAACCGGTGAAGCAATTTCTGTAATTATCCCTCCTAATGTGCATTAAAATGTACAATCAAACACAAAACCATTTTGCCCCAAACATGTCACAACATCTCTGAAATCGAAGCAATGCGTGAACTGATTAATTTCGAATTATCCATCTGTGATTATATTGATTCTTCATTTGTTTATCAGATAATACTGTATCTTTTCTCACTAAGTAAATTTTAATTTGAAATTCAGGTTTTGATAATTTCAAATTCAGCGTTTTTTAATTTGAATTTTAAATTCTTTTAATTTGAAGTTGAGCTTTTATAATCTGAAGTTGAACATTTTTAATTTGAAGTCGAGTGTTTTTATTTGAAGTTGTACTTCTTAATTTGAATTCAAGTTTTTATTATTTCAATTTGGTAATGTTATATATATATATATATATATATATATATATATATATATATAAACATATATTATTAAATATAACTGATAATGTATGTCTATTATGTCTGAACATGTTGGAATGTTTGCTTGTCCAACATTTGGATATTTTTTTATCAAGTTGGTCCTAAGCCTTACGTCAAAATCACAAAATATCATATTTGACGATGGATACCTCTGCTTCATATCCGTATAAGCACATTGAGGATGGCTCATGTGAGCCAAAATCTTATTATCAACTTAATAAAAGTATCCATATGTTGGACAACTTTTGTCTTTATTTTCACTAGTAATTAAAATAAATATTCGAACATTAAAACGGCTTATGATCAGACATAATAGAAATTCATTGTTTGTTATATTTAATAATATATGCTTAAATAATGATCTGCTACCCCAATACACTTATATATATATATATATATATGTGTGTGTGTGTGTGTGTGTGTGTGTGTCTGTGTCTGTGTGTGCGTGTGTATTTGTGTGTGTGCGTAATGCTTATATTTAATTTAAATATAATGGCTGAAACATGTGGTCGCCTTTACGATTGAAAAGACTACAGTTATGTGGTACCATTTCGCGGAAGTTAAATATAGATAAAGTAAGCAAATTTTTAACGTGAGTTGATACTTATTTTCAGCACTCTAGATAAAAACGCACTCACACAGATATATACACCCACGCATACATACATATATACATATATATGTGTGAAGGTGTACGCGCACGCGCGTGTGTGTGTTTGATAAAATCGGTGATTCAAAAGAGAATAAAATTTTAAACATCCATCAAATTTTCATACACACTCACGCATATATATATATATATATATATATATATATATATATATATATATATATATATATACATACTAGTGAGCCAGACAAACCTACCTAGGTTTCACCTAAACGGATCGTCTGGCTCACTAGGTCTATCTAGGTCTGATCTACGGTTGTATCGAGCGCTTTTTGTTAGTTAGTTGTTACTCGTATCGGGTTTTTTTTCTTTGGGCTTCAGACCTGCATCTGTGCGATTTTTTTGTCGGCAGAAGTTCATGTTTGTAGCTCCTTCTTTTTTTAAAACCTTTTTTTCCCTCGAGATTGATTTGATTAGCAAATAAAAAATTCGAAGGTTTTTCGAAACGAGTCTAGTTATATATATATAACGAGTCTAGTTATATATATATATATCGAGGATACCCGTCTAATAGGGCAGCTAGCCAATCCCTGTTGCAGACGCTTGCTCAGGTGCATTTGTGTTTATTCAACACCCACAGAGCCCACCTGCAACTATGCTGAGCAGACCTTTGTTACAGTTTCTGGGAAAGAGCGTGTAATCTAGCGTGATCAACAATCTTAAAAAGACCAGCACGCTCAAGCCCTCGGCCACGATGACTTGTGACTTCGTGCTAGAGCAGCTTTTGACAGGCCCAAGCGTTTTATCTATCGAATTTCACTCACAAGGCTTGGGTCAAGGCTTGGTAGGGTTTTCAGGCACTTTCCAAGGGTGCCGCACGCTGGGATCGTTCCTTCCAGTTTAATAACATCAAGAAATCTCCTTCCTGACAAATCGCCCATGGTGAGATTCCCATCCGGGTCTCTTGGTCAGGCTGCGAACTTTCTAACCACTCGGATAGCAAGAAAATATTCGATAAACAAAAGAATTGTCTATAACAATCTCCTTACCGACAGTGGTTACAGATCTTCCGAAATTAACTATAGTGAAAATTGTTGTTATTCTAAAAAAAAAAAAAAATGAAAAAAACAATAGAGGAAGGAGATTGGTATACACCTCCCTTCAACAAATTAGTCTGTACCAAATTAGGACACAAATTCTTAAATCAAATTAACAAACACTTCCCTATGGAGAGTAAATTAAGCAAGATCTTCATTAGCAATACCTTAAAAATTAGCTATAGCTGTTCTAGAAATCTAGATAAAATTATTAAATCGTATAACAATAGAATACTGAAACTTTATAGAGAAAATAAAACGCAACCCAAATACAAGTTCTAATACACACCAGGAAAAAAAGGCTATGTAATTGTAGAATCCCAGACCAATACCCATTATTAAACAGTGCTTAACGAAATCCATAGTGTATATGTGCCATATCTCATCAATTGAGAACTTATAGATAATAAGCTGTAAGTGGGGTCAACTAGCAGACCTTTTAAAGATAGGTATTACAATCACATGAGCTCCTTTACAAATGTAGCCAAACGCAATGTGACATCACTTTCGAAATATTTTTGGAAACTCAAGGGAGAAGGAAAAACACTTAAGGTTAAATGAAAAATCCTAAGACGAGCCAGAACTTGTAATTCTCTGAACGAAACTTGCTTCCTATGTTTACAGGAGAAAATATGTATCATTGAACTTTTGAACAACACCCAATTATTAAATCAAAGATATGAAACAACCGTTTTCTGTAGACATACTAAGGATCTAACACTACAATCTTGTTAAATTCTTAATTCCATAACTATAAACGTTTTAAAATTATAAATCACCTTCTTTGACATATTCCCTACTATCTGTACCTCTCCACTAATTAGATTATGATTCTAAATTTTTTTTTCCCACGTATATATTACTGGTAATATTTTCAGATAAATTGTTTTACACCCATACTTATTCTACACGCTATAGTGCTCAGGAATATTTCAAATTTTAATTATAAAAGGTTATATTAGTATCTCATTTTTTTAGAGGGAATCACCACTTATCAATTTATTAATCAAAAAAAATACTATACATATATATACAGGTTGCGGCAAAATGATTTGACACATTTGTAGGTTTAATAAAAGCGAAATAGAGTAAAAAACGAAAACTGTGTTTTTATTTCTGAAATGTAAACATGAGGCCATTTTGTTTTGTTTCGCTTTAGAAATTAAATCAGTCAAGTGGGTGCCGTTACTTTCTTACATACTGTCAAAGGTTTTTACAAAAGTTATCCATAAATCTACGGGTCATTTCATGTGAAGTGGCAGCAATTTCTTGGCGAATGGCGTCTCTTAATTGTTCAATGGATCGAGGGCGATGCGTGCATAACTTTGATTTTAGGTATCTCCACAGAAAGAAAAAAATCGCATGGGTTTAATCAGGTGATCGATCGGCCCAACGCTCTTTGATTTGTTGTTCTTGATAAACATCTCCACAATGAAAGCGAGATGTTCGCTCATTTAATTCATGTTGGCAACTGAAAACAAACGAAAGAAAATGGTATGATATATACATTTCGAAAATAAAAATACATTTTTCGTTCTTTAATCTATCATGGTTTTATTAAACCTACAAATGTGTCAGATCATTTTGCCGCACCCTGTATATATATGCAATATGTAACAGATAGATAGATAGATAGATAGATAGATAGTGAAATGAACCTAGATAGATAAATAGATTTTACCGCACCCTATATATATATATATATATATATATATATATATATATATATATATAATATGTAACGATAGATAGATAGATAGATAGATAGATAGATAGATAGATAGATAGGAAAATGAAATGAGATAGATAGACAGACAT